ACTCTATTCGAGTCATTGCTAATCCTAACAAAAGTCGATTACTTTATATGAATGATGTCATGAAATGCACCCAAAAAAAAAAATGCATGGTTTTTACCTTTATGACACATGAATTAAATAAAATGTAATTTACAGTAACTGTAAATGCACTTACCTCCTAGCTTCCTCTTCGCGTAATTTTGCATCAATCTCTTTGCTGGGAGGGTATTTTGGTAAACTTGATGGATCACAGGCAAATGGTTTTGTCGTAAAGAACTGTTGGAGAAAAACAGTATTAATAAAAAACATCCGTAATGAAAAACTTTCTTCTTAAGATATGGAAGAAATTTATATAATTAGAAACTTAATATTACTAGATCATTCTTAATACTACTAGAACAATAGAATATCGATCTCAATGCTACTAGAAATTTATGTTATTTAAAATACATAACACATCAACATAGCTCAACCTTTTCCTTGTACTGGGGGTGAGTAAGAATGTAATTATATCTCTGTCACTCCAATGAAAAAGAGAGACGCTTACCTCGCTCTTGAGAGCAGCAGCAGCAGTTCCTCGGCTTGCAGGGTCAATAGAAAGTAAGGTCTCTATTAGGCCTATAGCGGGACCAGAATTATCCTTAAAGAGTTCGGCAATTCTCCGTCTGTAAGGTTGAATATGTTTAAATACAGTCGAATAAGGTAATTTTGATTTTCTCCAATAATCCTCGGAAGGTGAACCACAAAGTTTGAAAATCTTGTGCAATTGCTCAACCTACAAGGTACAAATCTATGTAAATAATGGACTGAGGAAATATCACAGCCATAATGTTACCGCATGTCATAAGCACCAAAGACAAACACGCTTAAATTTAGTACATTGAGCATGTTTGGCTAAGCTTAGAGAACGTAAAAGTTACTCTTATATATGGTTATAGAGCATGTTAGGCTAAACTCAGCCAAACATGCTCTATATCCAGTGCATAGGCATTCTTCATTATAAGTTCTAGCATGGACATAAAATCATCTCTTTTACATTGCTTTTAACCACCAATATTGACTGCAAATGTTCTACTAATAATGAATATGCTACTTAGAAGATCATATAATTAATAGTGCCTGTGCAGTAAGACCATATGGTGATGCCACTTCTGAGGATGGTAAAGTCATAAGGCCTGCAATTGCCAATGTTCATTTGAAGAACTAACAGCAATATTCAGCCTACGAGTGAAGGCAAACAACACTTTTATATCTTTAAACCACCCTCACGACTGCAACAGAACATTTACTGGGGGCAAATGTCGTACTGTCGTGGTCAAATTATGAAAAATACCTGGTAAAGAGCCCATAATGACTCAAAAGTTGTAAGAAAAACTCAGTTCATGTATTTGTTTACTTCGTCTCTTCTCCCTCACGAAAAGAAACAAAAGGAACAGACATACAGGTGCAGGAAAAGAAAAGAAAAGTGAACATTAAAAATGGCTTGGGTATATTGAGTGAGCAATATTTCTTGGGAAAAAAATTTCAAGAATGGGCAGTCAGGGGACATTTGATATTTCTGAAACAGTAAAAGACAGGTTTCTAATACCTCTGTTCTACCAGGCATTATCGGCTTCCCTGCATATAGTTCCCCAAGGATGCAACCAGTACTCCATAAATCCACTGCAATGCCATAGCGAGTTGCTCCAAATAAAAGTTCTGGTGGCCGATACCACAACGTAACAACACGGCTTGTTAATGGAACAATTTGATGATTATCAAAATAACTTGCTAAGCCAAAATCTGCAATCTTCAAGATGCCATGATTGTCAATTAAAAGATTTGAACCCTTGATATCTCGATGCAGGACACCATTACTATGGCAATAATCAAGTCCACTCAGCAGCTGTTGCATGTAACACTTCACCTAATATTCAACAATATATAATATTATAGATAATTAGTTGGTGTAAATGACAAGAAAAAATAAAAGGTCAATCTTTCAGAGGTTTTGGCTTTTATATTCCAGTATGGGTGCATTAATAAATTATAATTAGAAAATCAATGATGCAATGGATGCTCCAAGTCCATGTCAGTTCAATCCAAACAAACATAAACCAAGACCAACATATTGCTAATCAATAACAGTAAGAATGAACAAATGACGTAAAAGAACCTGAGATTCGGTAAACTTTACTCCAGGAAGTGATGCAAGACCAGTGAGATCATGTTCCATATATTCAAAAACCAGATACAAACTAGACGATGTTCTAGATGTGACCAAGCCCTCTAGTTTAATTATATTTGGATGGTCCAGTCGTCGAAGAAGGAGGATTTCCCTTGCCATGAACTTTACACTTTCAGGATCCATATTATCGAAGCGCACTTTTTTCAGAGCAACAACTTTGTTATTCAGGAGATCACGACCTTTGTACACGCTACTGTAAGTTCCTTGACCAATCTGAAACAGTAATATGACATCACCAAAGAGCCAAAACCAATCATATGAATATAACATTTGCATGGTTGAAAGTCCTACTTTAGAAACCATTGCTTCAAAACTTCGAAGGCTTCAGTATGGCCTCTCTTTTTTTAACAATAACATAAGCATCAATTCAGTACTCATTAGATATCAAAACGCGATTATGAAAATCAGTGAAGATAGCAATTAAGAGA